TAGGTGTATACAAGCATTTGTAGTGGTTATAGTCCTCCTTTGGATGAACACAGCATTTTAAATGTAGTCTTCAACTTTTAAGCAGTATATCTTAGGCATCAGAGAAATAAAAGAAAATGACCTCAACCCATGTCATAGAAATATATGGAAATCAATTTAATTACATGACTCCTGGGGTTTAAATCTGAATGAAATGTTTTAGAGATAAAAACTGCCTAAGAGGACCAGCTGAGTGGCTCAGTTGGTTAAGAGTTGGCTTAAGATCATGGCTCTAAGCAACAGGGCCACCGGTTTGATTCCCACATGGGCCAGTGACGCTGTGCCTGAGCTGAGCTGTCACTGAGCTGCCAACAGGTGGCAGGATGTCTCAGCTGGTGTAACAACAAGATTGCCTTTTTGATGGTGGGCTATGCCCACCCGCAACTAGCTGCTGCCCGGATGGGATGGCTCAGTGTTCAGAGCGTGCGCTCTTAACAACAAGGCTGCCAGGTTCGACTCCCGCATGGGATGGTGGCTACGCCCACCGACAACTAAGATTGAACCCAGCACCTTGAGCTTAGAGGCCACGAGCTGCCCACGGGAAGCCAGATGGCAACTGGTGCCCTCCATAACAAAGATTGAAGAGCAACAATTTGGCTGGTCCCCTTCCCCAACACTGTTCCCCTCCCCCAATTCCCCAGTAAAATCTTTAAAAAAAAAACAACTGCCTAAGAGTATTGAGTCCCAAATGGCATAGGTCTAGCCACCCTCAGTAGGTGCACAAAATCAAACATACATGAATACACACATGCCCTCACCCTTTAACAAGATCTATCTCCTCTCTCTCTCCATTATTTTTGAATAAGTAGTGAGGGAGAAGCAATGCTTCCACCTGGTAAAGTGAAGAAGAGAGATAACTCTTCTTCACACATATGAAACCTGTGATAATAACTTAACACATGTGATACCTGAATAATACCTTTAATGCATATATATTTTATAGAGTGTAAATATAGAATAAACACGTGAGGTATAGGGAAAGAGAGCTGAACTTAGTGTTATTTAGATTCTATTTTCAGAAATACAACTTTATACCATATCATTAAACTTCTCTAGTTTTATTTTTTATAAAATTGGTAAAATAATGCCTTCCTCACTGAATTGTGTAATCTTTATGAGATAAATTATATAAAGATATTTTGCAGATTGTAAAGCCTTATAAATATAATCTGTATATGTTTATATGTAGGCTAGTATACTGGGGGTGCCAAAAGATGTACTCATTTTAAGAGATGTTATCTATGTATACTTTTCGAAGTTGAATTGAATTACGGTAGCAATGTGTAGAATGTATGACGTTCACACAAAAGATGGTGTTAATCAAATGAATGCTAGCATCATTCATTGTATTACAATTTTAATACAGTTTTTTCCTTTATTAAAATGTGTATACTTTTTTTGGCACCCTCTGTATAAATATCTATCTGTAGCTTATTTCCTCAATTCTTAGTTTGCTTCCTCATTATATATTGCCACAGATAATTTTTTTGTGTGGGGAGAGTCATTGAAAGAGAGCTACTAAGAGAAAATGTTTTTAATATGATATAATTTAGCAATATATAATTTAACAAATAGGTTCCATATACGTTATCGTATTGAATTCTCCTATAATCCTAAAAGGAACCACAGTATGCTTAGTTTACATATGAGTTTCAGAAAGGTTAGTCTTTCCCCAAGTGAAATAACAAATCAGTGGCAGAACTGGCATTTGTATTTAGGTTGTGTAATTCTTTAGTTTAGTATGCATTTATCTACCCTTTACAGCAGTATACACCTCAGTCTGACTTTTACCAATTCCTGCTTTTCTATTAATTGTCCCTGGCCTGGGAGTCATTTCATCATCTGAGTCTCAGACTGACCTCAAATCTTCTAACTTTAAAATTCAATTTTCTGCAATTTCAATTCAGTTGACTTTGCCTCATCCTTGAAAGAAACCACAGATGCCATCCTTTTCAAACCACTTTAGTTGGATATTAAATATTTCCATGTTTTATAGAATAAGAACACCTGAATACTGAAAGGTATCAGTATTTTAAATGTATCATACCAATGCTTGTTATACTTAAAATGTACCCTTTCTTCCCCACTTCTATTTTAGTGTTCGAAAGATTCCTCAAACCAAGAAAATACAAATCACCTCCTCCGTCTTTAAAGTTACAGCATATGTAAGTGTTGAGGGGAAATTTGCAACCTATGAATTTAAGTACTTGTTATTAATAGGGTTGTTACTGGAGTTAGCAACTAGGGTGATGTTATGCCTAGGAAAAAAGATGATGATACCGAGTTTTTTGTTAAAATTAAGTTAATAAGGTCTGCTTTTATTTGGAGAACTGTATGAACTTTTCACCCCAACTTCCTTTCTGTCATTCATGTCTACTAGACCTTACTTATTTAAGAGCTAAACCTGTGACTCAGATGCAATAAAACATAGTTCTCTGTCAAACCACAATTTATAGGTCAAATAAGAACGCCATAAGTGTCTTTATATCATAGAATCAGATGCTTGAATTTTAGTATCATACAAAAGATTATTGGCACATTCAAAGTAGTTTCTAAGTATCTTCATTCAATCATTTCAATATTTGTTGAGTATTTACTGCGTATCATCTGATATGCTGGGCTAGGCACTTTTTGTTGATAAACAAAAGAAATATAGTCCCTGCCTTCATAGTACACATGTACCATGTTCTAAAAGAAAGCAAAGATAGAAGAAAACTACAAAATAGAAAGTTTTGAAATATTAGCACTTTAAAAGCACTTTTTCAAAAGATAGGAGTTCCTTTTGGACTATAAATTCCTTAAGGTCAAGAATTACTCATGTTAACATCAACAAAAATAAAAATAAAAATCATATGGTCATATCAATAGATGCAGAAAAAGCATTTGACAAAATACAGCAGCCATTTATGATAAAAACTCTTA